CCCGCCCCGGTGGGGCCCTGCAGCGCGGGCCCCCCGGGAGCCGGTTCTGGGGCTGCGGTGCCGCAGCAGGTCTCCCCACCGCTCTCGTCACGGGGAGGGCTGGCATCCTCTGGGCTGCAGGCACACAGACAGGGAGCCACGCTGTCCCTCTGCCACACCGCCGCCGGGCTTTGGCGTGGTGCCTGCACAGGTTCTGCCCCATCCGGACACGGCGTGCGCTCGGCGTGGGCGGGTTCACACGAAGCATCCCGGCCGCCAGCCTCCCCTACCAGCAGGCGTGGGGCACGCGGCTCCAGGACAGGCTGGGGGGCAAAAAGGTTTTTAGAGAAATTTGCTTGTCTGCTGCAGGAACCAGCTGCAGCACTGCGTACAAGGATCCGGGGCTGCCACCCGTGCTGCCAACAGGACAGACGTGCCTGGGAGGGATGCTGAAAGGGAGCGCGGACTTACCCCCACACCCCCGGACCAGGACAGCGCTGCAGAGGAGCAGTGGTGGGGCTGAAGTGAGAGGGAGCAAGACGACCAGGACGGGCTGCAGGACGTCACACGCCACGCAGGGGCTGCAGCCCAGCCGGCACAGCCACCGCCACCTCCTCTCCTTTCCATTCTTACCAGGAGACTATTCCCCCGGCTCCGTTTGGCACAAACGCTGGCTCAGGACGCTCCTTCGGATGCCACGGGATTTGGTAAGGACATTCAGCGACACAGCTGTGCTCAAGGGCCCAGCTCCACTGCTGGTTGGCAAATTTTATAAAAGATGAGGGGAGAAGCATGCTGTCCTTTCAAAACCACTTCAAGGGAAACCTTTATCAAGAGCCAGAGCTCAGCAAAAATGACTGCAACAATCCACGTTGCATTTTTTTGGGACGGGGAAGAGGGTGAGCTGCAGGCACCCGCTGAAGAGCCTGAAGCCCACCTGGGGGGTGTGTGTGCTACAGCCCGTGGCAACGGCCGCAAGGACAGAGAATATTCAGTGATTGAGAAAAGACAAAGGAAACACATCGGGAACATACTGGGAACAACAGACTCCCATGAACACGTGTCGGTAGTTGTCAGCACAGAGAAACAGCTTTGCTGTAATGTCACGAAGAAGTGAACCTGGAGAGGTGGCTATGGGATAGCCTGGCTCCAGAAAAGCGGCGCTGTAAGACCTGTGCCTGTACACTTTCTGTACAAATGTAAAAAACCCAGTGCCAGCCAGTACAGCGTATAAAAACAGGAGAGAGACAAGACCTGCAGGTGACCAGTTCTTCCTCGCCAACAAAGCGGACACTTTCCCTGCAATCCCAAGAGTTTGCAGTTTTATTTTTGGCAGATTAGAATTAAAAAGGTCTTTATGGCTTTAGAGAGAAGCCACTAAGCCGCAGGCTTTGGTTGAAGCGTGTGTTACGCTCCGGCTGAAGGGACACGGCAGAGCGCTCCTGCCACAGCTCGGCTCCTTCGCCCGACCCACCAGCGCCGCTGGTTGCCCTCGGCTCTCTTCAGGGCCCTCGCTTCTCACCAGCAAGTAACAAAGTTCTGGTTGCTAACCAGTGCAATCCCAGAGGCGGAATAAAAAGTCCTTGTTAAGACCTAGAAAAGCTCCATGTTTCTGTCAAAATCAAGTCCAAACACCCGCAAACACTGTTGCCGGTTCAATGCATTTTGTTCAGGTTCCACCGCCGCCGCACTGGAATCTTTTTCCCGGTAGAGGGATTTCATCCCTCGTCCGTTCTCCACCTTTCAGTCTTCTCAGGAGTCTCGACAAGCTATCCCTCCATTTCTGCCTTCACCATTCTTCCCTGTGCACATCCTTCCTGCCCTTCCCTCTTCCGCTGTCGCACCCTGTTCCTCTCCAGCTATTTTCGGAAAGCAAAGACGTCCCGTGTTTTCAGCCCTCTCTTGCCTTCGCTTCCTGGTTTCGCAGAGGTTTCCGCCAGCCCCCCGTACGGGCAGCTCTCGCACGCGGGGTGATGGCCAGAGCACTCCACGGCCGGGATGAAGCCGCTGTCCCACATGCCGGTCCCGCACAGCTTGCACAGGTCGTGCAGGCTGCAGGGGATGCGGGGCAGGAGGTGGAACTGGTAGAGCAGGCTCCGCGCCTGGAGGGACAGAGACAAAGTCATTCCCTCCTCCTCGCCGGGGACCGAGGTGGAGAGCAGGGCGAGCCGTGGCCTCCCGTCCCACCCCGGCTGGGCTACCTTAGAGAGCCGAAGCTCCAGCGGAGGAGCATCCCTGCCAAGCACAGCCCTGGAGGGACAGTGCCGGGTCGCAGGAGCTGCCGCGCGGCAGCACGTCCCACAGCCAGCTGTCACTGCCACCCGAGACGGCCTGGGGACCGCGGCACAAAGAGGAACCGCTCCGGCTGCCATTTCCCTGAGCGTGTGCAAGGGTTATCCCAACCGCACCGTTACCTCCCACGCACTCTGCAACTCTCTCTTCTTTCTGCAAAACTTTTTTGTGGGCAAGCAGCAGCATCCCACCCTCCCAGGCTCCAGACAAGCGGAGGGCTACAGGAGATGCCAAAGATGAAGCATCGGTCCCTGAGTTTCTCGACAATCTGACTCATCCCTTGGACCTGAGATGCACGCAGGCACTCACCTTCCTGAGGACGAGCTCTCCGTTCATGTGCATAGCCAGGTTGCCGAAATGCAGCAGCATCTGGTCGGTGGCCAGCTGCTGTTCAATGACATCGTCCCCGTAAATCACCACGATGGCCACGCAGATGAAGAGGTGGAAATAGTCCGTCTGCAACGAGAAAACAGGGGCTGGGGTACAGCAGGTGGAGGCAGAGCTCTGACTTCACCTCCCCACCCTCCACAAGCACGTCCTTGGTGAGATTTTTTGCTCCTTCCAGTTTTGCCTAGTGGCAGACAGAAGGTGAGCTGCTGGAGGATCCTGACCCACAGCTGGGTCAGAGACTTTCCCCTTCCCAGCACGGCAGCAAGCCTCTCACCATAGCTTTCCAAGCAGACTCGTGAGTCTTGGGAAGAGATTTTCCAGCTGTGTGAGAGAAGTCTGAGCTTCAGAAGTGGATGTTCAGCACTTTCTGAAAGAAACTCCTTTTGCAGCGGGGACATCCTCAAGTAGGAGAGGCAAGCCTCCATCCTCCTGCTGCACAGGTGAACCCCTCTGATAGCTACAGACCCCCTGTAACACCCCCTTTGCTGCTAAGAGCCTTTATGGAAATTCGGCAAGGCTCGCTGTGCCTGTCACCATCTCCCTGACCTGGTAGTGAGCCCAGCACGCCTCCCACATGCGCAAAGCCTCGGCATCCGGAAATTCCCGTTTAAAACAGAGGAGGATCCAGCGGTGGCAGAACAGCATCTGTAGCCCGTCTTCTCCCAGGGAAGAAAGGTGCTGGTAGAAGCGGGGGTGCATGAGCCGCAGCAGCTCCCGCAGGTACATCTGGAAGAGATGCTCTGAGCTGAGCCCCTGCCCCGTGCCCAGGGGAGAGGAGAAGCTAAAGACAGGAGTAAGGGGAGCTCAGCACCCAGCCTCACCAGCTGCTTCTCCATGTCCTCATCCCGGGGTGAGCTGATGAAGATTGTGTTCTGCATCAATCCTACAAAGCACCAGAACGTATCTGACTCATCCAGGACCTCTGCCAGGAGCGGGGCCACCAGGTCGGACATCCCCTGGGAGTATCCAATAGTTGGGTTAAATACTGCATAGTTCAGCAAGATCCTCCTGGGGAAGGGATGCAAACGGAGAGGTGAGAGATGGAGAGGGCACAGCACCACGGAGCACAGCACCCTTTCCTTTCCACCCCAACTCCTCCACACTGGCTGAGTCAGGCAAAGTGCAAGAGAGCAACAGATGCTCCTGCCACCTACAAGATTAAATTGCGATTGCACCCGGAGGCTTGTCAGCTTTTGAGCACCTGTGCAGCACGTTTTATCCCACAGGATGGCTTTCTGATTTGCACGGTGCTCTTCAGCACTCCCGCGGCAGCGACCCAGGCAGCTGGGGCCAGAGGGTCACCGAGGTCTCGGTCCGTGCAGCAGGACACGTTGTTTGGGACACTAGAACCAGACACTTCACCTCATAGTTTCCACATTTGGGTTGTTCTCCCCTCGAAAGAACTGGTTGCTGCGGTCAGTCCTCACAACGTCCTTATCCACCGTGAATTGTACTTTACGCCAAAAATCCTTCTCTTCATCTGGACTCATCGACAGCCTGAAAATTGAGCAGGAACAGGAGTGAGTTGCCAGGAGAGGAATCTGGTTGCCACAAGGAACAATAAGCTTTATTTCAGCTTTAGTCTTCAAAGAAGAACTATTTCTGTACGGAGTTGTCTCATCACCACAAAAACAGACAAGCAGGTCTGTCCAGAACAGCCATCTGTCCACGTTGATCACCCGAAGGAGCCTCCCGGGCTCTACCTGGGATGCCATGATGTGCTTTCCGCAATAAACTCCAGCAGCAGTCGGGCTCTGCTCTCCACTGCTGCTTGCGGGCAGCACACCAGAGCTCACCGCTCCGTTCTGAGTGCCGCCTAACTAATAACACCGCTTTCCCTCCCAGCCTGCACACACCCACAACCAGTTCACAACACACAGTTCTTGCAGTAGTAACTTCCTTGAATTCGATATCCCTTCTCCTTCCCTGTTTTTACATCCCGATATATTTATAAAGCCACAGAAGATCCCATTTCCACCTGCAGCGTGCTGAACCAAGCGTGCTACGCTTGGAGTCTCGCCTGTGAGATAAGCTACGTGGTGCTGACGAGCCTGTTGCACAAACCCAAGTGAGACAATATTCGAGCTACACGGGACTCGCTCTGACCCTCCAGAGGTCAGCTCTGCTTGCTGCCCTGCCCTGACCATCCCTCTCGCTTCTCTGCTCCCACCAGCCGCTCCTGAAGCGGAGGCGGCAGAGAATCCATCCATCCCCCATGGTATTACTCCAGCATCAGACCTTTTCTCCTGGATCTCGAAGTACTCCTTCCTCTTCTGCAGCCTCAGCGCCTCCCTCTCCGCGGAGGTGGACCCGTAGCTGTAGTAGCGCAGGAGGAAGGGCCACACCTCCCCGCGGATGGCCACGTCGATCCCGCCAAAGAAAATGGCCTGGAAGAAGGAGCAAAAGTTACGACTGGTGCAGTTTTAACATTCTCCAAAACAGCAACAAGCAACCGCCCGCTCCTATCCTTTGGTGGCTTTGCAGCTCCCGCCTGACAAGTGAAGCCTTGATTCAAGCTCCTGCAATTTGCACATGTTTAGAGGGAAAGTGCTGGCCTTCTATTCCCAGACCAGACACAAATCGGGCTCATTTCAATGTCAATAACCCCCCCTGGAGAGGCTCTATGATTAACGTGTCGTTCTCATGTCACGGCTTAATCCCCAATCCTGGAGACACCGCATCGCGCTGCAAACTTCTCTCTCAGGACCTGGACCCAGCGCTCCCCTGCAAGCCCCCCATTATTTCATACCGTAATCTCAATTTTTCTTTCTTTGATTTGTTCACACTGCCTTTTGCAAACCCGTCTAGACCTGGCCGCTCTGGTTTACTAATTCCAGCCGGCAGCAGAAGCCGCAGGGCTTGCCCTCCTCGGTGCGGGAGATGCTCCACCGTCCTTTCTGGAGCAGCCTCCTCAGCCGTCCCAGCGAGACCTCCAGCCCAGCCTGCACGCTCTCAAACGCCCAGTTCTTGCCCCCAGCATGGAAAGAAACTCTTGCAGCTTCCACCTGGGGATCCTCACTCCACAGCAGGAGAGCAAGGCTGAACCCGCCCGCCGCCCGCTCACCTTCTGCAGCTTGTACTCCTCCTCCACCTAAAAAAATGGGCGCCCCCCGCCCCGCGCCCCCGTCCAGCCGCCGGTACGCGTTCTCCTCCGGGTGCGTTTCCGAGGAGGGCAGCTTGGGACGGCGGATGGAGAACTGCATACAGGTTTTCTCGTCGGTAAGCTGCTGAACGGGGAAAACACAACAGAAAAAGCTGGAGGCAGGAGCCAGAGACAGCAGCCGAGGATGAAACCCAGCGATCTCAGAGCAGGAAAACCCTTTTGCGTGGTTTGCGTAGGATTGAGCACTGAGGCGCTGCACTTGGGGAGGTTTGTTGTTTTTTTTTTAAAAATTCCATCCCTTACAATAGCAAGAGTGATCAGAGTAATTAAAAATCTGAGTACCACAAAACAGCTTCATCTTAAAAAAAAAAAAAAGGTTTCCATTCCTCCCCCAATCTTATCCCTGACCTGAAACTGAATTAATGCTGCTTCCAGCAAAACTTCACCCTG